GGACTCAAACCTGGGCTTTTGGCCTGGGTGAGGGCTAGGGCGTGGTTAATGAGCAGGACAAATGGAAAAGGGGCACCCCAAGGGCCTTGAGTGGGAAGGGAATGGGATTTCTATGCTCAGGATCATGGAGAGTGGGGGCAGCTGGTGAGACTTCTCGTTCTTCCAAGCTTGGCCAAGGCCCTGCTCAGTTTCTCCCAGCCTTGCCAAGTCAGTGCTGGGACTTCACACTAAGCTTGTCCTGGAGTGACCCTGATTCCCAACTCAAGGTTGGGGCAGAATATTTTCCTGGGTCTTCCTGCAGGACTTCCCCAGGCTTCTGGGGCCAATGTGTCCACCTGCAGTCTTTGAGTAGCTCCACATTAGCACCACTGTGGGAGGTGGACATGTGGGCAGGGTACTGGTGAAAGTAAAAAAAGGTGCAGCCGGCATCAGCATCTGAGAACAGTTAGAAGTGAAGTGAATGGACAAACCAAGAGGACTCCCTCAGCAGACCTCTGTTTGGGGATAAAGCAGCTTGAGTAGAGAGTAGGAGGCAGCTGGCCTGGGAAGCAGGGTTCTGATTCCCAGGTTTGCTTTCCCTGGCAAACCTTTTCCCTAGACTTGGTCCTCAGCTTCTGTGTATTGTCCCCAGTACTTGTTCCTGGAGCACCCACACACCCAGCCAGCCACCACTCTGGGTTTCTCCACACTGGCCTCCCCCCATACATGGGAGGGTGAGTCTGAGCTGACTGTGCTGACAGGAAATACCTTCCGTTCCAAGCTCAGAACCTAAGAATTAAGGAGCAAGTGGGGGTGGAGAGACAGTCCAGGAGTGATGAGGGAGAGGAAAGATCATACAATCAAGTCCCCCATATTTAGGGTTCCATTTCTTTCCCTCACCACCCGCGGGGGAGGGGTAGTGGGGGTGGATAAAGGGATGGAGGAGGGCAGGCAAAGAGGAGGATGTGGTAACAGCTGATTCGTCCCCTGAGGTCACACTTTCCAACAATCAGCTGTTACTGGGGCGGAAGACAGGAAGTTTCCTTAAAGGCACAATGTTCTGAACAAGGGCTCAGAATTCTGGAGCTTCAAGGATCCATAACAATTACCTCGCAGAGACCTTACTTAACACAGAAAGTACTATCTCACGCTCCAGGCTCATCTCTCAGGCTCAGTTACCATCACCCCCAATGTGGAGCTTATGGCTCATCTCTCAGGCTCAGTTACCATCACCCCCAATGTGGAGCTTATAGAAAAGTCATGGGCCCCCATTTCTCTTTAGTGCTAGTGGAGGGGGCAAGTGATGGGATGGGCTAGGTCCTAGGCTTGCTCCTTTAAAAAAGCAGATCTGCTGCAGCTTTTGCCAAGTCATTGGGTTCATTTCAGTTTTTGCCCATCCCCCGCACCTCTAAGGTTCTGATTGGTCCGTGGAGAAGGAGCAGCCTCCTCATTGGTCTCCACCTTTAAAATCTCTTCCCTAAGTAGGCCTGAGTAAGTGAAGAGCTTTGGAAGGCGGGACAGAATGGGTATGGGGGTGGGGATCAATCATAGGTTCTTTGGGTGATTAGTTGCACTTTGGCATGGCCCATTCCTTAATTTCTGACCAGAGCCTTCCTTCTACCCTAAGGTGAGGATTGTGCCAAATGAATCTTTTGTTAGGAGTCTCTTAAGAGGTTCTGGGGCTCTACTGCCACTGGCTCCCCTGGTTGGGAAGGGCCCCTGAGAGTTGGACTAGGTCTGGCCAGTGAAGGCTGGGACTGAACGAGGTGAGCGATCCTCCCTTTCCCAAAAGCCCTCAGGAGTGCTTTCCGACGGTAGACTTGCTGCTACTGCCCTGGCGGCTGAGATCAATCTTCAATATTGCCCTCTCCCGCTATTTCCCCTGCCCCACCTTTCCTTAGAAAGTTACAACTTCCTGTGGAGGGCAGCGAGTCAGTTTAAGGGTCGTGCACTCATACCTCCAAAAAGGGCTATAGCCCTTTAAGGACTTCACCGGGATGGATTCAGAGATCAGTTTAAAAATGCCAACTCACACAGCGCGCTGGATTCTGGGAACGAGGGTAGCCGACCAAGAACTACGTTAACCAGTATGCACTGCAAACACACACGCCTTTACTTTCTTCTGCTCTTTAGGACTCTGGTTTGACGTAGTGCTTTTCTAAGCAAGTCGCTTACGCTGGGGCTGGCCACACCTTTTCATTTATTGGCCAGCTTGTGAGTTGGAGGGCGTGGCTTAGTGCAATTTTGCTAAGCGAAGGGGCGGCCTCCTTGCCAATCAGAGTCTAGGTGTCGGGAGAGGCGGGATCAGAGCGAAGCGCTGGCGCCCCCGAGTGGGAGTGGTCACGTTGCCCAGCAGTGGGCGGTGATTGGCCCTGGGCGGTGCAATCACAGCTTGTGCGTCACGACGCCGCCAGCTGATCGGAGACTGGAGCCGGTGTGTGCTGGGCGCTGGGAAGAGACAGCGCCGCCGGCCGTGGGGATCTGACGCAGTGATTTGCTCCCTTACCCTCAACAACCCCCACACCCAGCACCAGGTGGGTGTGAGCTGGCGACCCGGGCACACAGGGGGAAACCCTAGTAACAGGGTGATGAGTGAAAGTAGGGTTCTGACGGCCACACCCTGCCTTTCCGGGGGAGGAGAAGAGGGGGCGGCGGGGGCAGAGGCGCTCTGGGGGACAGGGGCCTGGACTGGTCGGAGTAGTGTGTCAGGAGCTTTAAAGAAAGAATCCGGGACAGTTGTGGCGGAAGGTTTGGTGAAGTAGCTAGAGAAGGAGGACTAGGGGCCGGAGGGCCAGGGGCGGTTAACCTAGGCGCCCTCTGGTCTGGGAATACAGGAGCCGACTATTTTGCCTGGCGAGAATCTGGACGGAGTGGGTAGTGGGGAGGTGCTTTGCCTCTACTGGCGCTCACTGGGTCAGGGCCACTTCGGCGCCCTGGCAGGGAAGGGGTCGCTGGGCGGGCCGGCCCCTCCTCTCATTCCCTCCAGGGGATGTTATGTAAGGGGGGAGGGGAGAGGAGTAGGGGGCGGTGGTGCGGGGGGGCCTTATGCAACCCAAAGGTTAGGGTTTCACAGCGGTTGGGCGGGGGAAAGCGGGCAAGAGGAGGGCCTGGAAACTCTAACCCCCCCATCCCCACACTAACTGACCGTCTTGGGCTGAGAGAAGGTCACCTCTGCACCTCCCCCCAGCCTGTCCGGTTGTGAGGCCCCTAGCCCAGGCCTGGCCCTGACCGCCTGGGAAGCCGGCTGGCTGGGTGGGGCTCCTGGGTTAGTCATCACTGGGCTCCCTCTCTTCCCACCTCCCGGCCAACTCTTGGCCCCTCCCTGTGGCCTCCAGCTAGGCTATCGCCCCCACCTCTTTTCGGCCCTAGTTCCAGCCTCCAAATCATTTGGCCTGTCATCCTAGCTGTCAGCTAGGAGCTGTCAGAGTGCCAAAGGGTTGCTGGAGCAGCTGGTCAGAGGGTCAGTGCCCTGGGCCCACCCCGCCCTGCAGCCAAGGGCACCTGCTTGGCACAGACTCTTAGCAGCTGCTGAGTCCTGTGGGCTGAACAGGGCCCTATGAGACAGGGGAGTCAGACAGAGTTGGACTGGTCATCTAGGGAAAGGAAGATAACCACAAAGTTCATGCCTCCCAAGAAGGTTTTGGAATTTGAACCCCACCCACCCCCTCCAATCTTTCCTACCCCCTGAGTGCAGAAATCCCAAGGCAAGACTGCCTTGGCCCCTCAAGCTGGCATAGTCCATGCCCTTGGACTGACTGTCAGCACAGACCCGCCCTCCCCGGCTCACAGCCCTCAAGCCTGCCACGCCCCCAGCCCCCTCTCTGGGCCATGCTGCTGGGCCCGGCTTTTCCTGCTGATTCATGCGTTGGAACTGTGGGGGCGGGGCTTGGAACTTGGAACAAAGTTCAGACATGGAGGGGCCGGCAGACAGCTTGGAATTCATACCAGATGTACCCGGAATGTGAAAGCGGAATGCCTGGCATCTAAGAGTCCTGGGGAAGCTGCCCAACCACCCTGCCTGTACCTCCCTCCCTTCAGCCTCTGGGCTGCTGTCCCCTCTCTCACACTCCCAGGAGCCTCTGCTGACCTTCCAAACTCTATACCTCCTCCCTTCCTCATTCTTTCCCAGTCTAGGCCCCCAGACTCTCCTTCCAGCTGAACTCCCTGGGAACAAGTCAGTTGGGCTGATCGCTGAACTCTCATTTCTGGAACTGAGGTACATCTTCTCACCTAGTACCTGAATGACTGATGAGTGTGTCCAAGATCCCAGGCTCTGACCTTTCTGATTGCTGAGAGGGCTCGGCCCCCTGTATGGGTTGCTAGGGCAGGGGGATGAGCAGGACTGGGTTTCTCTTGCCCCCAGTTTTGGAAAGAGAAGCAAGGGAAGTCTGTTTAGACATGCTTCTTGCTCCTCATTGAAATTAACAGCTCCTGCCTATAGGCCCAGGTCAGAGCCAAGAACCATTCACTAGAAGGTTGAAGCTCTACGGGAACAAGACTTTGGTGGCCACTGGGACAGTGTCCCTGTGATATAGGCCTGCTCAGATCTTTCCCATTTTCCTTCCCCTTCCCTTTAGGAGCCTGATCTCTCACATCCTCATCTGGCTGAGCCGCAGTAGTTCTTCAGTGGCAAGCTTTATGTCCTGACCCAGCTAAAGCTGCCAGTTGAAGAACTGTTGCCCTCTGCCCCTGACTTCGAGGAAGAAGAAGAAGAGGAGCTGCTTTCTCTATCATCTGGAAGGTGACCGAAATGGGGCTGCAAAGGTCTAAACAGCGGGGCTTATGATACCTTTTGGGAAAGGAAACCCTGTGTAGTTGGGAGAGCCTACACCCCAAATGGCCCAGCAAGAGAGCAGTTTTAGATTAGAGACACTGGCTGAACTGGGGACTAGAAGGCTTGAATTGCCCAAAGTTACTTGGTCTACATGTGACAATGGGAAGAAGTGGAGAGAAAAATTCTGTCTACCTCTTTATGCAAATTTCTTTCTTGATCCACCTTCCTTATCTCCCATTCTTCCCTACTGGCCTTTCCAGGTATGGTCCAAAAGTAAGTTTACTCTTCGGAGAAAAAGTGATACTGAAACTCTAATCTGAGCAATCATCCCTCTGCTCTTACCTTTCTGTGTATTTCCCTAGACCAGCCCAGACTCTAGATTCGGGGTACTTACCTATACTTACCTATATCTTAGACCCTTAGACCTCCTGTCTTAGTTTCTTTACCTGTGAGATAGAGAGCCATACAGATGAGTGTACATGTGGGAATCAGAAGCCCACCTGTGCACACTCAGAGCCTGGGTTCTCCTCCATGTGTGGATAAGAATAAAATACCTTTCACATGGCTCGGCGCCTATAGCTCAACCAGCTAAGGCGCCAGCCACGTACACCTAGGGTGGCGGGTTCGAATCCCTAGCCCAGACCCGCCAAGCAACAATGACGGCTGCAACCAAAAAATGGCCGGGCGTTGTGGCGGGCGCCTGTGGTCCCAGCTACTTGGGGGGTGGAGGCAGGAGACTCGCTTGAGCCCAGGAGTTGGAGGTTGCTGTGAGCTGTAATGCCATGGCACTCTACCCAGGGGGGGACAGCTTGAGGCTCTGTCTCAAAAAAAAAAAAAAAATACCTTTCACATGAGTTTTTGTCCATTCCCCATCCCTGACACCATAACTCCAGGAGTTGGGGACCAGGGAGAGTTGGAGGGAGAAAATGGGGTTAGACCAAGGTGAGGGACTAGAAAGATGGGTCTCTATACTGGCTTCCCATCAGGCAGGGTCCAAGGAGTCCCCTGCCATCCAAAGAAGGATGGAAGCCCCAATGGCATTCTTGTTTCTTTTTTCTTTTTTGAGACAATGTCTCATTTTATCACCCAGGCTAGAGTGCAGTGGCATCATTGTAGCTCACTGCAACCTCAAACTCCTGGGCTCAAGCAGTCCTTTGCCTTAGTCTCCCAAGAGTAGCTGGGATTATAGGCCATACTACTGTACCTGACTAATTTTTCTATTTTTTGTAGAGAGGGGTCTTGTTCTTGTTCGAATTGGTCTCAAATTAGTGACCTCCCAAAGTGCTAGGATTATACTGCCCAGCCCCTTGATGATACGTGGTGCTGCTCTATTTCTTCCCTCACTTTGCTTTCCAGATGGTATGTAAGACAGCTCAGTCCTGTGCAGGCAGGAAATTCTGTTTTCCACCAACCAGGACAGCTAAATTATGGGACATGATCCCCTTTGGGGCATCAAGCAGTGTAAACCTGCCACCTCTCACTCCTGATCCATTCTTATTCTTGGGCTTAGGTGTTCTGATGTGGTTCAGTCTTGGCCCAATCTCCCTACCTGAAGGTGGCCAAGTTCACAGGTTATAGGAAGCTATTTATTCTATGTGGTGGGAAGAGATGTGCAGGAGGTCTACCTTATTCTCCATTTATGAGAAACTGAAAGATGTAGAGGAGAGGAGATAATTAACCCCACTCCTCTTTAGCTTAAACTGAGGGGCATGATGTATGTGGGACAGCAATAGAGGAGGTAGACTGAGTCCACTCATAGGCTGTAACAAAGATTGGTGTGTTCTTGGACATTGCCTCTGTCATTTCTTCCCCTCTTTGCTTCACTGGCCAGCATTTCCCTCCAGCCCTGGGAATATGGCTCTGCCATCTTCACCCATCATGGTGAGGAAGGGCAGCCTGGGAACACAGAGACCAGTGAAGGACCAGACCTGGAGAACACAGGGCCCTATCTGGACATCCAGCAAGGGCACCCATAAAGCCCAGGAGCATCCCAAGAGGAGAGAAAACAGCCAGCCTCTGACAATGACTTCACTGACCAGTTCTCTCCAGTCTTTCTGCCCCCTTCAGAGATGGGGAACCATAGCAAAGCATCCTGTGACTTCACCCTCCTACTTCTACCTTATTCTCAGCCTGTAATTTTTATATAAGCAGCCTCAAGGAACAAAAGCCAGCTGTGACAGGACATAACAGGAAATTCACAACAAACTCAAATGGATAAAACCATGAAAGAAATGTATGTTTCATTAGTAATTAAATATAGCTGAAAGCATTTTTCCTTTAGCAAACTATAACAGAAAAAGGCCCTAACACTGGCAAAAGAGTCCTGAAATAATACTCCCATACATTGCATGTGGGAGTATAAATTCATACAGCCTTTCAGATGGCATTTTGGTTATATGTATCATATACCCTAAAAGCTTCCCTGTCCTCTGACCTAGTCGTTGTGTGTCTGGGAATTTATCCTAAGAAAATAATTAAGGATTTAGTTATAAGACGTTCATCCAGCATTGCAATAGACAAAAATGAGAAGTAACTGTTGATTGGGAATTCATTCCTTTTCTGCTGTAATGAAAATTTGCAATCGGGATTGCTTAAGTAAATTATTGTATATCCATCCATATGGTAGAGTACTGCACAGCTATTAAAAGTCATGGAGAAGAACATTTGACTAGAAAGAAAAATGCTCTTTGAACATTAAAAAGGTTATAAAAGGAATATATATTATGTGATCTCAATTTTATTTTTAAAAATATGAATATATACTTGTATTCATAGAACAGATAAAAAAGACTGAAGACATACTCAAAGATGTTAATAGTGGTTAACTTTGGATGGTGGAATAAAATAATTGTGATTTTCCTGTGGTTTTTCTGTAATTTAAAATTTTCTACATTAATTATATATTCTTTTTATAAAATAAAATTCAAATGATCCAGTGAAATGTTTTCCAAAACCTTTGAAGAAGTGGGTGTAGAAGAATGAAGGGAAGCCCCCAGCCCTTTAGTGAGAATGTGTGGTTTTATGTGGGCATCTGTTTTTTATGAACTTCATTCCTTAGGAGTAGCTGGAATCCATGCTCCTGGTGCACAGGAAGTAGCTCTCTGAATTGCTGGCTGTCAGCCAGCTAAAGAGGTGTGGAGTGGAGTAAGATGAAAGGAAAACAGTAAAAACCTGTCACTCTCTTCAGGGGATTAGGGGCTGGGGGAGGATTTTCCTCACAAGGCTGCAGGGCTCTAGAATCCTAACAGTCCTACTTATAGGAGGATGAGTTTTGTTTTTCTCTTCCGATTCTAGCCCAGCAACAAGGAGACCCTGTGTTAGCTTTTTTTTTAACACTCATAGAAGAGATATTTTCCCACTCACCCAACAGGTACTAAGCCCTGGGAGAGGGGATGCTTTTTAATACTATAGTGGTGCATGATTTCCTCCCTAATAAGGGTCTTGTTAGGGCAAAAGAAAAAGGTTGGGGCAGGGACGGTTCTCAGTGGGTCACTGCAGCAAAATGGGGGCTGTTGTTCCATTTGAGAGGTATTAAGGGGTCAGGACTCCTGGAATTATGGTTTACCATGATGTGTTAAAAGGCCTGGGACACCTCAGGAGGCAGAAGGGTGGCTACAAGGAAGTGAACCGCCTTATCCCCACGTGACACCGGGAGGGATGGGTAGGGTGGGGGCGATGGTTAGATTAGGCAAATGGGAATGGGTTGCACTTGCCTCCACCTTCAGGGATGTGAGGGTGGGTGAGAAGGACAACCAGTAGGTGAGAGGTGTGGGAATAGGAGGTGAAAGTTAACTGGGTAGGGCCCTCAGGGGTGTCGGGTGAGATGAAGCTAGCGACCCATTTCTGGAACTCCCAAGGTTCACACACACAGAATTGGGGGAAGACCAATCTTAATAGCATCCCAGAAGTCCTCTTGAGAGCCATTGCTTAGCTTGGTGTCCGGGAGCCCCCAAACAGCTATTCCGGCTAGGGCAGGACACCATCGGTTGCTGTGGCTCTCGGGGCGGTGGCCCCACAGCTACTCCAATCGCCGCCCGGCCCAAGAATGGGGCGTGGACAAGCCAGGGAAAAGTTCCCGCAGATTCTGAAGGCTGGGCGGGTGCCGAAGCCCAGGGATCTAGCCCTGCTGGGAAGCTTGTTCACAATCTCTGCAGGGGACATCGGATGCTTCCCTGCTGAGAGCGCGCGCACCGTCCAAAGAGCCAGATCCGGACTTAGCCCACCAGCCAGGTCATGGCGCCCTCAGGGCTCCTGGTGACTGGGGCCTCCTTTGCCGTGTTCCGGGGGCTGCACTGGGGGCTGCAGCTGCTGCCCACGCCGGGATGTGCTGCTCAAGACCGTTGGAAGTGGCGGAACATCTCTGTCTCCCTGGTGCACAGCCTGCTCGCCGGGGTCGGGGCGCTGCTCGGGTGCGGGGCTCCAGAGTTCCAGGGGCTCGGTGTGAGGGCGAGGGAGGAAGGCTGAGGTTAGAAGACCCGGCAGCATCTTCAGAATCGATTCCAGACCTTCAGAGTCTGAGGCTGGGCTGGGGACATGCCCGGCAGGGGAATGGGCCCAGGTATTCAATAGGGTGACCATGGCTCCCCCATCTGCCCCAGGCTGTTGCTGTACCCTCAGATGGCTGCCGACCCCATTCATGCCCACCCGCCCTGGGCCCGGGTGCTGGTGGCTGTGTCTGTGGGTGAGTCTGCAGGGAAGGCTGGTCCAATGAGGGCGGGGGGGAGGGGAGACTTGGAGGAAAAAATTCAAACCGTGTTTTTTTCCTACTCTCACACCACAACAATCCAAATAGACTTCTGTGGCCAAATGTGGGGGCGTTTTCCTCCATACACCAAGCGGCAGACACTAGTTGGGTGTCCTTTGATTCAATTCCGACACTATCTGCCTGAAGATAGCTATCAAATCCTATAGGGTGAGGGCTCAGTCCTCCCTCGGGTAAGTAGAAAGTCTGAGCCTCTGGAACTTCTGACCGACTGGCTGGAAGATGAGGTTCACAGGACTTCCTCTCTGGGTTGGATTAATTTACTAGAGTGGTTCACCCAACTGGGAGAAACAGTTATCTGAACCTCCTCGTATTCAGCTCATTCAGCTATCCAGAAGCTCTCCAAACCTAGACCTCTAGGGGTTTTTTTTTTGGAGACAGCCTCAAGCTATCACCCTGGGTAGAGTGCTTTGGCATCACAGCTCACAGCAACCTCCAATTCCTGGGCTCAAGCGATTCTCCAGCCTCAGTCTCCCAAGTAGCTGGGACCACAGGCGCCTGCCATAACACCTGACTATTTTTTTAGTTCAAGATATCATTGTTTGGTGAGCCCGGGCTGCATTCAAACCCACCAGCTCAGGTGTATGTGGCTGGCGCCTTAGCTGCTTGAGCCACAGACGCCAAGCCAACAGTTTCTTTTCTTTTCTTTCTTTCTTTCTTTCTTTTTTTTTTTTTTTTTTTTTTGTGGTTTTTGGCCCAGGCTGGGTTTGAACCTGCCACCTCTGGCATATAGGGTCTGCACCTTACTCCTTTGAGCCACAGGCACCGCCCACCACCTCTAGGGTTTTTATGGCGGCTTCATTATGTAGGCATGACTGACACCCTAGCAATAGAAATGTGAGTGGACAAAAAGTGCGTGATCTAAATCCACTAAGGCCTGCCTGGTTCAATTCTTCCTGGCCTCTCTGTGCAGCTTTCCTTATTCTGTGCTTTGGAGCAGAACCTTCTCTGGTATGAGGGTCTTAGGGATCCATAATCAGATTAGAGTCCTGCCCTGGACAGATAAAAGGAGGGCAGGAAAAGATCAGAGAGAGAGATTCTGTTTTACTGTAACAAGGGCTATGAGAGTTATGAGCCAGGAATCATGGATTAAAAAAAAAATATATATATATATATATATTTCTCACAGGGGAAGCCTTCCATCAGTAATTCTAAGTTCTCTTCCCCCTTCCCCACAAGGAATGTCTATGGAAGCTTTACTGAGGGAAACTAAAGACCTGGGAAAGGAGGGGAGGGGGCTAGAATCCTCTCTATCCTGTATACCAGTTCTGGAGAATCTTAACATCTCTTTCCCCCTCCCCCCAATCCCCACAGGTTATTTCCTGGCGGATGGAGCTGACATGCTGTGGAACCAGACCTTGAGACAGGCCTGGGAACTTCTCTGTCACCATTTGGTGGTGAGACTCTGGGGGAAGACCTCAGGCAGGAAGGGAGGCCTGGGGTTCCAAGTATCTCTTCAACTCCCCATCCTCTGACTTCCCAGAGCATCTCCCATCCCAGCTATCATTTCACCTTCTCAGTCTTATGCTGAATTAGGGGTGGGAGGGTGACTACTGGCCACAGTTGGGAATCTGGGCACTGCCTAAGGATCTGAGTCCCTCACAGGTGTCCAGCTGGTCACAGAAGTGTTGACTACAGAGCTTTTCTGAGCAGAATTAGGGATTCCATGGTCAACATTGTGTATAGAAGCCTGGAATGGCAATTGAGGGAAGGGGCATCTGCTAGTTCCCTCATCTGCCAAGGGGACTGGCAGATGCCCCTTGGCCAAGTCAGCTTCCATCCCATGGAAGGGCTATTTTAAGGCCAATCAGGCCTCCAAAATAAGGGTAAGCATAAAGGTCAGTTCTAGGCCTATAATCACAGCACTTTGGGAAGCTAAGGCCAGAGGATCACTTGAGGCTAGGACTTCTAGACCAACTTGAGCAAAACAGTGAGACTCTATCTCTAAAAAAAATAGAAAAATTAACTGGGCATAATGGTATGTGCCTATAGTCCCTACTAGTCGGAGGCTGAAGCAGGAGGATCACTTGAGGTCAGAAGTTTGAGAGTGAAGTGAGCTAGCATGAGGCCAAGTGTGGTAGCTCACATCTGTAATCCTAGCACTGTGGGAGACCAAGGCAGGCAGATTGCTTGAGCTCACAGATTTGAGACCAGCCTGAGCAAGAGCAAGACCCCATCTGTAAAAATAGCCAGGCAGTGTGGCAGGCACCTGTTGGGAGGCTGAGGCAAGAGAATTGCTTAAGCCCAAGAGTTTGAGGTTGCTTTGAGCTATGATGCCAGGGCACTCTACCAAGGGTGAAAAAATAAGACTCTGTCTCAAAAAAAAAAAAAAAAAAGGGAGCTAGGATGATGCCACTACACTTTGACCTGGGCAGTAGAGTGAAACCTATCTCAAAAACAATGCATAAATAAAGATTGGGAGTTTAGGGAGTCTCATAAAATGCTTGGGATCCCTTTCTTTTTTTTTTTTTT